GGACGCGGTCGGGGTTAGCAGGAACACTGGCCCTTGTAGAACTCGTTTTCCACTGCGAGAGCTGTTTCTCAAAGAGATCCATTTCTTCCGCGGTCACTCCTTCCAGTCCCGTTTGCTCGACAGAGTTTTCATTCAACGCCATACCTGAAACACGAACGAAAACCGAGAATAAAATCAATGTCCCAAGAGGAATTGTACACTTCGGAACAAACAAAAAAAGTAGACGAATTTGTCAAAAGTTGAAGTTGTCATGATGACGAATTGAAATAAAACCTCAAGTACCGTTTGAATTATTTTCATAAAATAAAAATTCAATGAAGTGCAATTGAAAAATAACTAATTAGTTCAGAGATCCTCGTGAAATGCATTTCGCACTGCAGTAGAAGGGCGTTGTAATCGGCAAATTGTAGTTTCGAGTTCATTAAAAGATTTCCCTGAGGGCAACCTAAGCAGAAGTATATTGTTGAAAGTAAGATTTATTAGGAATTTTTCAAAATGTTCGTAAGACTGGTTTGCAAAGAAAAGCAAAAATTAAGATTTTGACAGGTGCAGAATGTAGCTTTCCTATATCCTATCTCACATACATGCACACTAAGCAGAAAAAAATTGAAGACTCGGCCTGGACTCGGGGCAATCCAAAATGTTTCGATAACAGCAGACAAATTCTACCAGGTATGAAAATCTCAGGGGAAAACCTTATCTTTCAATATCGGTGAACATCGCATCAAACAACGCGAAAAAAAATCAGGAAGTCCATCAAATTAAATTTCTGGTGATGACATACAGTAACCGAACAGTACAGTAATGAAAATAATAATACTGTACTTAGGAAAACTAAAACTAGATCAAAGCGCAAAATGATTTGTTAGGACACATTAGGTATTTTAAGAGATTCAAGATGTAACTGCCAAACTCAATATAAAAGGTTGACCGTTCGATGTAAAAAAATCAAATAAAATAAAAATACGTCAATACTGTACTAAGTGTACAGGCTTGAAAACAAAGAATGTCAGTGGGATCTGAAACGAAAAGCGACCAGATAAAAGTCGCCATCCGGGATTAACACCCATTTCATCTTTTTAGCCTTCAGAGATTAAGAGCGAAGCTAGAAAGCTTGCTCTTTGCCCAGATTCTGTAAGGCATTTTATGCGCCACGAAAAATTAAACATCTACAGCAATTCTAAACTAGTACAATTAACCTGTTCTGTTACGACATAAAGGCTAAATTTTACAAGCTTACAATAAATTAAAAAAAATATCACGTTCGTAAAATCATTCTGAATGTTACGTTAAAACAATGAGTCTGAGTCTTCCGTTTTTCGGCACCAGTCTGAAACTACGAATGATCTTTAAAAAGGTGCGTTCAAATTCTCGACAGAACATATTCACTCAACGTCTCGCCATCGTCGTGAAAATTACCGCAAAACTGTCATCAAAGATGGAAAAATTCTATGCATTGTTACCTTCGAACATTCGACTCAAAGATTAAATTATCCGGACCAATAAAATAGTATGCGATTTTTTTTCAGTGCCTACCTTTGCATAAAAGCAAGTTTTCCGGCGAATACTGGATCCACGAAGACCGGGGTTCACAACCTGTGGAAAAATAAATAATGAATCGTCGGATATCATCTCTTGAAGGAATAAATAAAACTTACTGCTGATGAAAAGCAAGAAAACCCCGCCAATGGTCGAAGTACACGCATCACACCTGTCCGTTAATCATGAGTTAAAAGAAGTTCACAGCAGAACCAACACGGATTTTTCAAATAGCACAACGAAATAAACATGAAATTGCGTACGTGCATGAACGAGAATACCTTCGCACGCCAAAGAATGTCCTCTTCATCTCTGAACTCCAGGACAACAGTCATAAATTGGAAAGAAAACGAAAATACATCCCGAAAAAAAACTGAACGCGACGGATTTCCGAAGCTTGAATTTACACGAGAAAAAAAAAATCAGTTGTTGCGTGATTTTTTGTTGTTGTTGTCCGGAGCCGAAAGAGAAAACAGGGACTTTGTTCAACCAGAAAACAAGCAAAACGGCCGAGATACGCGTCAGTGGCTATTCATCAATTTGCAGAACACCGTCTTCATCGAGCTCTTCACCATTTGCTGTCTCTGCGGCTTCTTGCTGAGCAGCGACCCATTCTCGGGTTCGGCTGTTCTGCTTATCTAGCTCGCGTAACGCAGAGCGACGCTTTTCTTTCGGAGTCTCCTTCATTTCAGAGAATCTCGGCCCGTCCTGCAAATACAAGCATAAAATTCACGTAAAAAAAACGGACTTCAAGGACCGCAAATCAAAAAGCACAAATATATTCCAATCAAGAATAGTTCAAAGAAATTTTGCTAATTCAAAAGGTACCCTACTTGAAAAATAAAGTTGGACCTTTGGCTTTGGGCGCTACATCAAATGAATGAATTGTAACTACGGCATTTATGATAAAAATCAAAATGGAAATGGTATTCTCCTAAATTTAGCAATAAATACACGCCGTAACCTGACACTGGATTTTCCAACTGGAAATATAAAAATAAATTTCATGAAAAATTTCAAGAAAACTGTGCTTTTTAATTCGCTGACTCGTATCTCAGACGGGGTCGTTTATTTCTGCTGTCGTAGGACTTGTTCTACGTCAGGTCAGGTTCGGTCACGTAGATATATATTCGGTTATTTCTGGCCTGCTTCGTGTTTCAAGTAATATCCACCTGAACATTCTCGAAGGAACATAATGACCAAAACTGACATGGAGAAGCATTCATGCATCTAAAGGCCGCATCCCTACACACAGGCCAGATCTTTAAAAAATAAATAAAAAGGGTACAAAAAATCAATGTTCGAATGAAATCTGAACATTTAATGTCTCGAAATCTGAATAACACTCGTGTTTTCGAGCATCCTTCATGGGTCGAACCATCATCTTTCGAACCACCGTACAAGGTATTTTCAACAATAAATAAATTAATTTGATCATGTACCTAGTTGATATTTTTTTACATCAATGAAGCGAACCAGAGTCAACGACTTCATGATTTTTTCATTATCCTACATAGGTTTCGAAATTAAACCACCATTATTTTAATTTTAATCTACGACAGATCGAAGATAATTATTTTATTTTTCGTAGGGTTAGGAGAATTTATCTTGGCGCAGGTAAAGTTTCACGCTAAATCTTTCCAACACATCAGAAGAACATGCAGGGAGTTGAAGTGGACACGCTAGAAAATACAAAAGCACAAGTGTCAATGGGATCTGAAACGAAAAGCGACCAGATCAGATTCGCCATCCGGGATTAACACCCATTTCATTTTTATAGCCTTCAGAGATTAAGAGCGAAGCTAGAAAGCCTGCTCTTTGCCCAGATTCTGTCAGGCATTTCAACAAAAAATTATAGTGCAGTATATGAAGAGATAAAATTATGATCTGCACTCACTGAAGTCTCCGACGCGTTGTCACAGTCTTCACAATGCCAAGAGTACCCGCGTACTTTCGGAGATTTCAGAACCGGAGGGTCCAAACATTGGAAATGGAAGCAACGCTTGCATTCGTCACAACTGAAAAAGAAAAAAGAATCGTTCGAAGAATCAGTAAACCCAAACCCGCACGAACTTGGAAGCACGGCAACTCACCGAACCGTATCACTACCAGTGCCGGGCATGTTGCATACATCACAGGTCGTCTTCTCAGGAGACGAGCCACGTTTCGCTCGAGATGCTGAAATTCGGCGACTTCGTCCCGCGCTGGGTTCGCCTGTCGAAGAGGCGGCTTTACCCGACAGTGACAAGCCGTCTTCCACAGCGTGCGGGCCATCAGCAGCCCCGCTGACGTTGATGCGTCGCTTCTTCTTTTTTGGCGACGTCTCTGGCTACAAATAAACAATCACACCAGAACTTCAGAGGTTTGACTTGAAAAAAAGACTGAAAAGATCAGTAAAAAAAAGAATGAAAGATCAGTAAAAAAAGACTGAAAGATCAGTAAAAAAAAAACTGAGATCAGTTGATGATTAATCAAAAATTGAGTTTATTTTCCCGTCTCACAACGCCATTTTCTTATTTTTTCACGGACTAAAACATGTCATTAATTGGAGAAGTGGGAACGAAATTAATTGGAGAAGTGCATTCCTCTGAAATGTTGCAAGTTATAGTTAACACTTCTCCATTCGATTCAACGTCCCCATTCTCGTTGCCGTCACAAGTCATCGAGTTTTTCTTTTCCCCCCAAGGTCCTTCGAGCAGTGTTTATTCATTTTTGGATTAGGTTAACGTGGATCACGTTGGGTCAATTTTCTTCAGTCGGATTTTGTTTTCGTAAATCGAGATAAAATGCCACACCTTCCACAGTGTAAGAAAAAGTGGCGAAGATCGAAATAAAAACAGACTACTTCTCCTCTACAGCGGATTCTCAATTTTTCCGCAGCTTTAATAAGTAACTCCCACAATTGCATACCGGCGTGAAGAAATTGACACATGACTCCACCTCATTCATTGTATACAATTTTGAAATGAATACTTGGCTTTCAGCAAAAATGCAAGTTCAAAGTACTGTACAGTACAGGTACTCACCGAACCATCGCCAACAGGTACGGAGTGGTTCAGGTCCACGCTGTCAGAGACTGAAGGAACCTGATCACCTTCGGAACGTTTCTTCTTCCGTTTGGGCACGGTAACTAATGGTTTGGACACTCCAGCATTCGCAATGCTGTCAGATATACTACTAGACCCGTCATCTAAGATTATGGAATCCGCCTCGTAAACTTGCTTGCGAGGACGCGACAAGGCTCCACGGAGTTTTCGCGGAGCTTCAGTGTCCACCGCTTCTTTTTCCGAGTCCGTGGAAACTTCTGCTACGCATTCGTTACATTGCCTGCGGGGAACGGAAGATGAAAGTAGGATTGACTCGAACCAAACCCAATTTTTCAATGGCACAAATGATTGGATATCTCCAAATACACAAACATTAGCTATTTTTCATAAATACGATTGAATTACGCACCAGCCGTAAAGCTTCGTCTTCTTTGGCATCCTTTCCAATGGAGGCACAACACACGCCATGTGATAGCTCTGATGACACGTGTCACAAGTCACTATGGAGTGCTGCTCCTTCGTTGAATCGCAAGTGGTACATTTCATCAAGATTCCTTTGTGATTCGGACTTCCTGAAAACGCAATAGAAAACACCTCCATGTGAAACACGCGTCTCTCGAATATGTCGTGCGATAACGAACATTACACGATAAACCGGAGAAACACTACCAGGACTGGTTAAGACTAAAATTTAGAAAAAAAGTTTCAAGTAAAGTTCATTCAATTTTTTTTTCAAATAATGTCGAAGAAGGTTCTGGATGCATTGACGAACACGCACTTTAGCCTGGTGTAAAGTTCACGTGCCTTATAAGAGAGCTGTTCTACACCTTTATAAGTTATTCGCAAGCAACCAGTGAAGCAAATTTGTTTTTTTTTCGTTCACTATCATATTTCAGAGTTGTTCAAAAAATAGACTCCCTCTTGAACTGTTCAGGAGATATCACAGCCCGGAAAAAATGAAGAATTCGCATTTGCAAAAATTTTGATTGTGGGAATTTTGCTTACGATAATTAGAATTGCTTGGAAGAAAACTTCTTGATGAATTTTTAGTTTTCAAGAGTACAGTATATTCAATGTTTTACACTGACGTTTCTTCATCAGCTTTTTGCTGCCGGACGACGAATTATTTTGAGTCGTTTCAACTGCATCGTAGAGTTTCCTCGCATTGCTCGTCATTCGCACAGGACTCGCGAAGAATGGTCTAATTGGTGGAGGTGGAGGCTCGAGGCACCGCGGAGTACCCAAGGTCTTCCCAGAAACATCACAAATACAACCGAACAGCATCTCCGCTTCATTCCTCGCAGTTTCGAACTTCTGTGACGCAACTTCATTCCGATTCTTAGCCTGAGGAATCATATTTTTTTTTAGATAATGTAAGGTAAGCTCCAAGATGACTAAATGGTCCAAAATTCAGCATTCAGAAAATCTCCGCTCGGAAAACGTGATTTTTAGAAGGGATATAAGCTTTAAAATTTAGACGTGGAGTTTCATCCGGCTAATTTGAAGTTCGTTTCAACAGTCAAAAGAAAGCCTGCGGTTATTTTCAAATATTTTATACAATTCTAATGGGATTTCGAAATATTGTAACGGAAAATCTAGGGTTCAATTTTCATTAATTAGGTCAATTCCGAAGATCCAGGCGTGGATAAAAACTTGAAAGAAATGAATCTCAAATACTGTCAACAAAGAGAGTAAATCAGGAGTCCACGAAAAAATCGAGTTCAACAGTTCATTCCAAACGACTGCGCTACTCTGATGAAATGTAATGACTTCGTATTCAGTTTTAAGCGACAAAAAATGCAGGTCTAGATGAAGTCCCCAATACGAGTTTAACAGCCAATTAATTATTGATTGCATAGAATTTCCAGGCTCATTGTTTTGGCCATTCAAAAAGTTCATTTTCCTCAACAACAAATAAATTACACAGATTTATACGTAGTCTCGAATTATTATTGTACTTCGTTACACTGATTCGAATGATTTTAAGCTTTAGCATATTGCAGAATAATATGAATGATCTATCAAAAAATTACCTCCTCGAAAACTTCCAAGGCACCTTTTGCCCTTTCAGCTAACAAAGCCCGACTTTTTTGAGCATCAGCCAGTTCCTCCCGAAACGTCATCATACGTTTACTCCGATCGATGAAATATGCCACGAACTCGACTCTGTCGATCAATTCAACGATAATGAAACCATCATGGATATAATTTCAGTTCTGAAAAAACTAACGAGAACGCAGGTTTTAGACCATGTTTACGGCCGATGTCTGCTATGCTCTGTTGCTGCGCCAAGGTGTCTTCCATAGCAATAGGATCCAGGTTCATTAGAGTAATCTTGTGACGCATATTAATCACGCTTTCCGGAGACGTATTCAAAAGGCGCGGAATTCGTTCCGTTGGCACTGGAAGAAATAATTGAAATGAATACTGTGGACTTGAAAAAAGAAAAAAAGTTTAGTCCGTGAGCAAAATCCATCGAAACAGTTTCCTCACTTTTAGTTGTGAGCCACGAAAAATAATAACACGAGGGGGAAATGTCAATCCTTACGTAGAACTAGAAAAAAGTTAGCTGCTACTTCATAAATAATCAAATGTGCAGTACAGTACGTATGGGGGCATTTTCTTTCGCGAGAGTTGAGTCTCAAGGGGGAAAAAAATGTTTCGAATTGGTTACAAACGGATTCCTCAACTAATTGAAGATGCTCATGAAAACTTACCCCACGCATCACCTCTGCTGGCTTTCGCTTTCTCGTACAGAGTTTGCTGCTTCATGAGTTTGCGTAACATTCGCTTGGGATCAAACTGAGGCGGTAGAGGAATTTTGAGTCTTTCGGCATTTTCGCTCCGCTCGATTCTTTCTTGAACCCGCATCTTCATGAGCCCATGCAACGCATTGTATCGCGTTTTCTTGTCCCTTGAATATAAAACATAACAGGTTTGAACAAGCAATTGATTTTTAAAGTACGAGCCGAAAATTATTCATCAGAAAATGAGCTGTTATTTCAATTCACGACATCGCTTATTTTTCACAGTATTTCCCTTCCCACAGGTGTCACCTAGACCACTAACCTACCCAACTGCAGCTCATTGAACGTAACCTGATATGACCATTCGTCAAGTAACCCAACTCAAACTTAACATTACGTATCATTACTCAACTAAAAAAAAATTGAAGATGAAACAAGGCGAAATTACTGTGACGAAGGAATCAAACAAACTGAGTGAACGTAAAAACCACGAAGATTCCACAAAGGATGACTTTGAATTTCCTCTCGGCCAAATGCTGCTTCAATAAAGCCTACAAAAAGTGAAGCTGGAATCTAAATTTGAATAAGGTCTGAACTCGCAATAGAAAATGTTACACCTAAAATAAGAGTGTTGAAGCAGATATGTACCTCATGCGTGATTTTTCGGAATGAAGTTTGCAGTGAGCCAAATAAGGGTCAACTTGCTCTCCAGGAGCCGACAAGTTCCCGTCTTCGTGCGGGAAAAGAAGAAGTCCTTCTTTCTGACCACTGTAGATTGAAAAAAAAAATTCCAAAAGAACGTCAGAAATTCGATTCATTGAAAAAAAGATAAAATCGACAAGGAAAACGTTTCCAGCTCAGAAATCTCCGGAAAAGGAAACTAACCATGTACCATGGAACACAATGCGACACATTCCGGCATCACAGACAACGCACACACCAGTCTTGCTCAGCGCCACGTCTTCACAATAGGCGCAAGCTTTCGATCCGAATGCTGAATTCGAAAGTTCGAAAAGAGTCATTCCTTCGAGTCTCTCCGGATTAACGAATGCGACCCCACGCACAAAGAGGGCACAGACAATGTGTACCCAGTGACCTGCATCCGTTTCTTTGAAAGCACCACCTGGTCGGAAAAAAACAAGTATCAAAACTCGCAACACGCGCGATACTCGAAAATTCAACAATCCCACAGGGTAACACGAGAAAATAGGTTGTCCAAAAAGTTGCTTGCGCTGCGATGAATTTGCGGTTCATTTATGAACGTTCTCACTTATACCATTATAATAACGATCATCTATAGCGTGGACTAATGTCACAATTACACTCAACTTTTCGATCAGTAAACCCAGTTCACATCTCACTTCGGATTCTTCTCGTGCTCTCAGAAGCATTGCTATAATAGCAAAAGAGTTTAATTAATATAGGTTAGAACTGACATTCTGTACAGAAATGAGAGAAAAAATTACAGTATTTCACTTTTCTCTCGTTTCGCACCTTATCATCCAGAATTCAAACTACTCCCATAAACTTTCCAAAACACAGCTCTTTCAAAACCCTGAAAAAAGAGGAAAATTGAATAGAAATAAACGTTTACCAGTGTTAGGACACAGTTCGCAGCGCGGGTTGAAGTTTCCAGCCTTGCAAGCATCGCAAAACCAAGGATCCGACGAGCAAGAGGATACGGAACTGCTTTCAGATGCGTCTTCGGGTATTCCGTAATAACACCCTAAAATATTCCCTTCATTATTCAAAGTTCATGCCGTCCATTACGGTAGAATTGGGGTACCTTCATGTATCATAATCCCGCAACCATCGCACTCGATCAACTCGTCATTCGGAAGACTCTCCATACCGAGACACGCGCAGCAGATGAGCTTGTGATCCAATTTTTTCAGCAGTTCGGTAACCTGGTCAAGGAAGTTGATTGTAATTTTGTTCAACCCAACGCCTAATTTTCTCTGATTACATCAATCAGAATCTCGGAAATACTGTATCTTCGAACATAACCCCAAACTTCGGCAACCCCAACTGCGCCTCAGTCAAGCTGAAATAATCTAGATACAGCGGTCCATCGAAATTTAAATTTAAACTTACTATTGTACTTGAAAGACATGATATCAATTTCTCAAGACGTTGAATACAATAATTAAGAGCTTCGGCTTCGAGCGTTCACGTAATTTTGTTATATGAGAAATGGACCAAAATGTTCAATTTCCCTCGGTTTTCGCATTTCGAATTACTATTCTTGTATGCCAAGATACCATCGTCCCAATTCTCCAAGATAAAAATAAATAAGCGAAAATAAGATGCACTCTCGCAGCATTGGATTGCTCCAGAATCAGAAGAGTCTGCTGAATCCAATTAAGTTATCAGCACTTAAAAATGATAGTACGGATGTGATTAATCGAATACAACACTATTTTTCGAAGTTGAATATTTTGTTGGTCAGAGGCTATCATGCAATTTTCCTCCGAATCTAAGAGGCCAACAAAAATTAGATGCACCCCGAATCAGAAAAACAAATAGACAATATGTTTCGGAGGACATAGGTTAAGCAAGAAAGCATGGTTCGAAGTAACTTTCAATGAAGACTCATCAGACATTCCGGGGGGGGGGGATTACGTCGGGTCAACAAAAAATTAGCAGCTACATTACTCGAGGAAAATATTTAAACTTATTTCTTGAATCAAAAATATGAAATAACCCGGTCAGCAAAACATGGATCCCACTTCAGTCAGTCCTGCCATTTTACGATCATCATATACTGTATTTTAATTTCCTCCTATTTATCCTACCGCCTACCATCCTTGGGTGTAAAATACTTCGGAAAAAAAATAAAATAAAGCATCAGCACGCGATGATGTACACACATCAGCACTATACGCATCAGTCGAAGCTTTGACGTCCTTCCCCGGCGGCTCCTTTTCTCCGTTCGCCGTAATTGCCTCGTCCTCTTCGGCACTGGCGACATTGGGGGAGTCCGAACCGGAATCACTAATGGCATCAGAGTCCGCGTTCAGCTCATCTAGAAGCCGTAAGGAAAACCAAAAGAACCTCTACACAACTTCTTCAATATAAACGGCAGAGGATGAATTCTGAGAGTAACGAATCGTTCGTTACTAGAGACGATTTCTTCTTATTCTTTTCTAATTTGAATTAGATTAAACTCGAATCAAATTTCAATAAGGTGAACCTTTCAACATTCGCAGAGATGAAATGCCATTATTATTTTTTTTTCATCAGAGGAGTAAGGCTGCGTACAGCCTGAGAAGTATGAAAACGTTACAATTTGGCATGAAGTACCTACCATTCAAACCCAGTCACGACGTGTGCTAAGAAACGTACCTGCATAATGCGCGAAGTTCATGAATTCATTTTGGTAATTCATCGCAATTTGATGGACTTGAAGAAATTTTTTCTCTAGGAGAATTGCGATAAACTGAACATTTCACACAATTGAAGCGATCATTTTTCCTACTACAGATGGACTCTCTCTACAACGATCTTGTCCAATACAATTTTCTTTGCACAGTACACGGATGTTTTCGTCCCACACGGTTCTCGCCCCTTGTTACAGCGGTTCTCTACAACAAATTATTTCCTGGTATCCTAAATTTAGGTGCAGAGAGAGTCGACCTGTATATATTAATACACTCCTCAAAAATGTTCAGCGATCACGCCATCTGTTTCACCACGAAGATCGACATACACTGTCGCACATCCCAACCCCCTCTTCTAGTCTGCTGGGCCTGTCTCACGAGCAGGGAATCCATTCTGCATGAGTCGTCCTTTCCACAGAAAGTGGGTCAACGCGACTTACAAAAAAAACAGTCAAACCGCATTTGTTCGTGAAACCAAAAGTAACTCGCGAAGCGGTTCCGCAACATGTGAAAACAAAGCGAAAATATGGCACGCGGAAAAATTCCTGCGTGAAATCCAGGTTGACACAGAACAGTATATCCCTGCACCACAGCATGATGATGCAACAGGAAATAATGTACTACTCCGGAAAGAAGACAAACTGGATAATATGGGGTGTTCAAAAAGTTATTCCGTATTTCAGAAAGTTCAACCTTTAAAATACGACAGAGAATTTTCTCCAACAAGAGGCAAGAAAACATACCAGAGAAGTTGACAATTATATGTTAAAATTCGGATCATAAACGCTGAAAAAAGCAGGCTTGCATTCTCGCGTTCAGATGCGGTACGATAGTACTGAGTTATCACTGCATAGTAAAGTAACTTTCGGGATGCCCCAAATGTTTTCATGAGATAAGTCCCGAGTTCCACGTCCTAATCGGGTGACCCGTTTTCCTGTAACTTCCCAAACAACCCACTCTCCCGTTCTGCATGACTTTTCATATATTTTTCTTGGGACTCTCATACTACCGTATTTAACTTTGAATTTGCCGTGAGACCCATAAATATGCTCAATTGTTTACTCAAGAGTAATTAGTCATTTACAGTGATTTAGTTGAGGTTTGCTTGAGTTAGGAAAATTTAGGTTGCGTGTAAATTGAAGTTAGGCTATTACAGTATAGATTAGGTCAAGTAAGGTTACCACGCGCACCTTTTTTCCCCTCAAATTTGAGAGGAAAATACAATGAGGCGCATCATAAGCGTTCTTTTTTTTCAATTCCGGTGCGCATCATAGTTGATTCTAATCAGAATTCTTGGTACTTTCCTGTTATCTCAGCACCTCATTTCCTGTTATCTCCGTTCCATCCCTCTGACCAATTTAACCTGACCTAACCTAACTTTACCTAACCGCCTCCCAAAATCAGTTTCAGCAGAATGCGGAAAAATAAAATTCACAGTTTCTGGTAGGTCGTCGTGATTATGAACTTGTCCTAAAGATTTGTCTGGATGGTAGTGAGGTCTAGGAATGAGGTACTGAGATAACAGGAAAGTACCAAAAAATTCACCTGTATTCCTGGGATTCCCTGGAGCTCACAAAGACCCTCACACTGACAAAGGGATGAAAGCCAACCCTGCGTTGAGGATCCTGCAACTGATGATGAGTCCTATTTGACTTGATCTTCACCTTTGCTGTCCTTTTTATCCTGGATAACTTGCCCATTATTGGGTCTTCATCAGTTTCTCCCACACCTGCTGTACTGTTCTTGTTACTCAGGCTGCCTTCAGAGGAACTCTTGCCTGGCACAATTTCTGGACGCCTGCTGATGTTATCAACCATCGGAGTTGTGTTTCTTCGCAGTATGGGTGTGAGTTGTTTTTTCTTTCCCTGATGAACACGTTGTGGGTCCGATGATGAGGATGAGGTTATTGAAGGTGACCGGAAGCTCTTCTTGGTTGGCATTATTCTTCATTTATTTTATTTATTTTATGTTCAAGAGGGAACTGAAGGAAGGTTTCTGGATATGTGGGGGAAATTTTGGGTATAATATCATATATGCTCAAAGGTTGAGAGGGAGGAGGACATGTACAGTTATGAGACCCCCACATGCAGACACCTTGACATGAGGACAATTTGACTTGGGGACATTCATTTTTCAATAAAAAAAATCATAAAAAGAGGCCTGACATATACAGACACTGACTCGAAATGAGGACATTGCATGATGGAATTGGCAATAAATTTGAGGAAACTTGACTTTCATTGGGCTTAATTGCAAGAAACAGATATTTCCAACCTCAAGATCTATATGCAAGAAGCATTTGTTGATACTTTCTCCCATCATTTTCACATCCATTCAGCTAATTTGAAACAAAAACTAGCTACAGCATAGATGAGGGACTTTGTTCTCTTTTTGTGACTTGGATGTTATTTTTAAAGATGCCAACTCTTCAATGAACTGTACAGTGGTATACTATTCAATGCTCCAAATTTTCCTGCTGGGTTGAAAAGATATTCACTGAATCAAATTCATGTGGCAAACATTTTTTTCATAGAATTCTGAAGAATATTTATTCCATAAAACACCAATTAAAAAGTATACTGTATAACATAAGTGTATGGGAAAAAAAGACTCAACTTAGGGACACTCTTGATGCATAAATTATGTCTGCATCTTGGGTCTCACTGTATATTCAGCAAATAACAGACATATATTTTTTTTTCAACCAGATGATGTGGATTTTTGAAGTTATGCTATATATATACTGTATTGTATATGCTTATAATTAAAAAAATTTAATTTCAGCCTCTGCAAACAAGTTTTTGAGAAAGAAAGTTGAGATTTTTCCATCATTCCCAATGCAAAAAAAAAATAGGGAAACAATGAGCAATACTTGATGTGCATCAAGAAAAGGATTTTTAAACATGAAAAGGTGCAGCACTGAAACTATATCAACAAAGTAAAAATTCCCTGTTTCCCTAATTTAAAGATTCCTTGTATCATGGATGATGGTGGATTAAATTCCATCTTGTGGCTGTGCTTGGAAATTTTTCTAAGCAATCCCTGCAAAGATTTGTAAGGGTTGACATTCCAAAATTTCTCAGAATTATTACATCACTAGCTATAGGGCTTCTCAAGCATACAAACCCTTTAACATGAGTTTTGCTGGGTTAATTTTTTTCATTCAGCTGTGCTCCCCCTCCCTCCCCACCATCATTCCTTATCTAAGAAAAATTTTTGCAACAGAGAATGTTCAGGTGAAATTTGTAGAAATGTTTGTCCTGGCTTCAACTGTCTGTTCCAAGAACCATAGTCACAGTCACATTATGAATGAGAAATGTTTGACAGGGCCTGCCTTTATTAGTGATTTTGAAAGAAGAAATCATAACATGTTCTTTAAAAAAATGTTTGTTGTACTGGAATTGGAAAATTTGTTGCAATGAGATTTTTACAACATGCATACCCTATCAGATTTCTGCCAGGACTTGGAGGAATAAAAGTTTGTTATACTGTAATGAAAATTCTGTTGTCATGGTATATTTTGGGTACTGTTATCTCTGTACCTTCCCTCTGACCAATTCAACCTGACCTAACCTAACTTCACTTAACTGCCTCCCAAGATCAGTTTCTGCTTTCTTTGGGTTTCTGCTGAAACTGATTTTGGGAGGCAGTTAGGTAAAGTTAGGTTAGGTCATGTTACGTTGATTAATTACCCGGAATGATGAAGTTCAACTAAATTCTTTTAAGCCAGCAAAAATTATCCTACTTCAGAGCATCTGGTCACGGTTCGCAGGCTTATTATTGTACTTACATCGCGTAATATTTTCAAATATGTACATGGGTTATGAAACAGATTACGCCACAATAAAATTCGTAATCTGGGATTAACGCCCAGGAAATCACTATAGCCTCCAGAGATTAAGGACAAGGATGCAAAGGCAATCACTGTCCTTTGCCCAGATTCTGCGAGGCGATTCCTTGCTGAAGAGAACACAAGCTGTTTAGATAAAAAAAAAAAAGACTATGGTTTTCCCTTTTTACTACTAAATAGGGTTTGGTTACTTCAAAGGTTAATTCCATCCCTTTCTCCTCACATATTAATTAACGCTCCGGTTCTTGACTTCGGATTCAAAACTAAGTGCTTTTTACAGTCGGGGTAAATTATTTGCGTTGACTACATTTACTGTAGCTGGAACCCTGTACAATGCTGCATTCTTCTATGTTCCTGGTCGGATCCAAATCCATGCTTTTCTTGCAGCTTCGTTATTCTGAATACTGTAGTTATTTTCAACGTTTTGTAAGCATGATTGCTGATGATGTCCTCGGAAAACCAGGGAAATCTGTTCCAACATGAAGAGGAAAGGCGGAAAGTTGGACAGAAAAGCAAGATGGCAATGCTGCTTGAGTTTGAGCAGAATTCTGGTTCCCTAAGAAACACAACAACTTCGAAAAAAAGGTTAACATTTTAAGAATAGCGAGCAGCGCAAAAATTGCCAGGCCTTCATGGTCGATAAATTCTTCGTTTACTTCAAGCTGTTTTTTAATGAATGTCAATAGACTCAAAATGAATTTGTAACTGATGCCTCGGAAGAAATGCAATCGTAAATTTCCTCAATTACAGTATTGTATATAAACAACTGCGCATCAACTACAGTAGCTCGCATTCGTCTCACTGCTCCAAAAACTTTCCAAGTTGTACTCAATGATGAACGATCAATGAATATCTGAAGCAAAGCGCGGTCTAACCTAACTTTACCTAACCGCCTCCCAAAATCAGTTTCAGCAGAATGCGGAAAAATAAAATTCACAGTTTCTGGTAGGTTGTTGTGATTATGAATTTGTCCTAAAGATTTGTCTGGATGGTAGTGCGGTGTGCAGTCTATGAATGAAGTACTGAGATAACAGGAAAGTACCGAAATTTCGCACCAATTTCAACGGACTTTTTCATGGAAAGAATCTGAAATCAATCGAATAAAGGTTCAATTTATTTTTAAAAATGAAATTCGGCTTCGTTTTATTTTTGAAATACTGTACTGCAATTTTTCAGTAACTTACAAAGTCAATAGAATGTTACAATACAATGGGGGTTCGTATTCCGGGATAGTAATCAATCAAAATTTCAGGCAAAAAAATCCGTGTGCGCGTCTTATTGCCGTATATACGGTAGATCGGGTTAGGCAGGGTCAGGTTTAGATAATCTACGCAGAACAATTACTTCACTCGGGAAGCTTTTCTGCATGTCCTCGTAAAATAAGCCTGGTGAACGGAACTACAGTATCTCTGAGGACCGGGAGAAGTTCACAGGAACGAGTTAGTCACGTGGACCGGATAGCAGAATTCCCAAATGACGACGTGAATCTCATACGCAGGATCAAACGCTCGCAGCTCTTCAAGCATTCTGGAGCTAAAACCAGCAAGGCTATTATTATTATCATTACAGTATTATTGTACTTACATCGCGTAAGACTTTCAAATATGTACATGGGTTATGAAACAGATTACGCCACAATAAAATTCGTAATCTGGGATTAACACCCAGGAAATCACTGTAGCCTCCAGAGATTAAGGACATGGATGCAAAGGCAATCACTGTCCTTTGCCCAGATTCTGCGAGGCGATTCCTTGCTGAAGAGAACACAAGCTGTTCAGATATAAAAAGAAAACTATGGTTTTCCCTTTTTACTGCTTAATAGGGTTTTATTACTTCGAAGGTTAATTCCATCCCTTATTCTCTCTGGTTAAAAAAAAGTTTCTAATTTAAAAAAAAAAATCGAAGCGGATTCTCTCAAGAAGCCGAATGCCTTTGCAACGGTAATCAACGACCATTGCAAGCACAGTATACGCGTCGTAGTACTGTACATGAACTTCATTCTCACCTTCCGGAACCGTGTAGTCTTCATCATCAGAACTACTCTCTGTGACATGACCCATGTCCATGAAAGCATGTTGAGCGGGTTTGACCTTCCTTTTGCTCGGGTCTCTTTCCGCTGTATTACACACGACGAACGGAATCACTATCGGCGCATTTTCATTCCAAAACAAAAAAGAAAACTTACCCAGAGTCCGAAATAGAAATTGCATATCAAAGCCGTCAGGCTCTTCTCCGTTGGTCGCCATCTTTGTCCGGTTAGGCGCACGCGCACTTACGATAAACAGAAGGTAGAACTGATCTCAATAAAGCTGAATGTCGCCAAAACGCAGAAATGTCAAAAAAGTTTCACATCAGGGCTTAGAACTAGAAAGAAAAAAAAGAAATTACTGTAGAAAATTTTCATGAATTGGACTAAAAAGAATACTCGTAACACGAAAAAATGCGGGGCTGCGGAAAGTTTTTAATGCTTCCAACAGCGCGGAAAAATTCTAGAAAAATTATTCCGCTTCCATCACGCAATGCTGCTTGCGTTAGAGGCAATCCTAGGCCACAAGTCTGCACATTCCTTTGCCACAGGTCCTGTGATGGCCGAGCCCTTCATTTCTCCCTTGTTGTTGACGATGACCCCAGCATTGTCTTCAAAGTAGATGAACGAACCGTCCTTCCTTCGGAACGGCTTGCGTTGACGGATAACAACTGCTTGCATGACTGTCAAGAGAAAGATTAAAAGATTCCGTACAGTGAAAAAAATTACATTTACCGCGTCCATAAATCTATTGGATGCGATTGCATTCTTACAGCATTTCTCACCCACTGGACTTCACTAGACACACTTTCGATGAAAGCTCTCTTAAATGGAGACCGATATAAATCGATATAACTCTCTGATGATATTCTCTGGAAGCATCAGGAAAAACAAAATTGACCTTGTCATTATTTCGTCAATTCGAGAGCATTTGCAAATTTATTGCTTAAAGCGACTTGAAGTCAAGTCGCTATCTATCATAAGTAAAAAATGATTTTCAAACTTCGATCCTAAGCCTGGTCATTACCCGGAATGATGAAGTTCAACTAAATTCTTTTAAGCCAGCAAAAATTATCCTACTTCAGAGCATCTGGTCACGGTTCGCAGGCTTATTATTGTACTTACATCGCGTAATATTTTCAAATATGTACTTACCCGGAATGATGAAGTTCAACTAAATTCTTTTAAGCCAGCAAAAATTATCCTACTTCAGAGCATCTGGTCACGGTTCGCAGGCTTATTATTGTACTTACATCGCGTAATATTTTCAAATATGTACGTGGGTTATGAAACAGATTACGCCACAATAAAATTCGTAATCTGGGATTAACACCCAGGAAATCACTGTAGCCTCCAGAGATTAAGGACATGGATGCAAAGGCAATCACTGTCCTTTGCCCAGATTCTGCGAGGCGATTCCTTGCTGAAGAGAACACAAGCTGTTCAGATAAAAAAAAACTATGTTTTTCCCTTTTTACTACTGAATAGGGTTTGGTTACTTCGAAGGTTAATTCCATCCAATTCTTTACACATATTAAAGCTCCGGTTCTTGACTAGGGATTCAAAACTAAGTGCTTTTTACAGTCGGGGTAAATTATTAGCGTTGACTGCATTTACTGTAGCTGGAACCCTGTACAATGCTGCATTCTTATATGCTCCTGTTCGGATCCAAATCCATGCTTTTCTTACAGCTTAGTTATTCTGAATAGTTATTTTCAACGTTTTGTAAGCATGATTGCAGATGATGTCCTCGGAAAACCAGGGAAATCTGTTCCAACATGAAAAGGAAAGGCGGAAAGATGGACAGAAAAGCAAAATGGCAATGCTGCGTGAGTTTGCGCAGAATTCTGGTTCGCTAAGAAACACAAAAACTTCGAAAAAAAAAGGTTAACATTTTAAGAATAGCGAGCAGCGCAAAAATTGTCTGGCCTTCATGGTCGATAACTTCTTCGTATACTTCAAGGTGTTTTTCATGAATGTTAATTGAACTCGAAATTAATTTGTAACTGATGCCTCGAAAGAAATGCAATTGTAAATTTCCTTTTAATGTCATAACATATATTTGTTGACGCGTAGTTGATGTCATCGAGCGTAAGCAGAGTGACGAGGTTTTTGAAAGGTTCAACATGAGTTACTACTTGCTAGTTACTTATAGACTTCGTTTCGCGCCAAGTACTTGCGGTAGAGATCAGAACATAGTCCCACGCCAGTAATGTTTTTATTTAAAAAGTTGCGTCTTCCACCAACATCAAGCACAATAATGAGCGAAGAAGTCGAAACAATCTCTACCAGCACGGTTTCTCTGCCGCCGAATATCACATTCAAGCTGACGCTACGCAGATCCCTCCAACAAAAAATGGCATGACCTTTCCTTAAATACGTATACTAAAATTCCTTTCCTCACGGAAAAAGAAGCGCAAAGCGAAGTAGATGAAGAACGTTCAAGCAATGAATATCATACCCTTCTTCCTCAACTCGGGCTTTCCCTTTTTCACGGTCGTCACGATGATATTGCCGACAGCAGCGGATGGAAGTCGATTCAATCGACCACCAACGCCGTAAACCGCGATCACGAACAAGTTCTTGGCACCTGAAAGGAAGCCTCGTCAAAATCACCATGGCAGAATATACGTTCGAAGTTCTATTCGAATAGTTAGTCTCTGCAACAATTTATTCCAAGAGAGCAAATAAATATTAGGTGAATCCATTGGATCCGGGTTAACTGTGACACGACTTCGGCGTTAAAATACAGGGGCATTTTTCGGTGCAAAACCTCTCGCTTTTACCTCAGCTTTTCGAATGAGTAAATATCCAACAGAAGTCGACTCACACTTCTTTCAGTGAACAGCCGAACTAACGAAGAAGAATTATACAGAAAAATTCCATTACATCGAATCTCGTTATAAAGAATTTTTTGCTTGGTCTCAGCAGTTTCGCCCTCGGAACAAATCTAACAATGTAATGAAAATTCGTTTTGACGAACTAATCAATCAATCATCTCAGTGCTATTAAATACTTTTTCTCCCTGGTCTGCGTGCATGGGACATTCGAATTATCAATAATCAGCATACAAATTGGAAATTCCAAACTGTCCATCTTTAGATATCGTCAAAAATATAAATGCTTATCTGTCCATGAAGAAAATTTAGCATAATTGCGGTATGAAATATGAAACACAGTGCTCCGATCAGAATTTATCTAGCGGTATTTCAGGACTTAGAAAGTAATATTTTTTCAAATACGCGGTACGCTCAAAAGAATACTGTACTGCTCTACAGTATTTCAGGGAACATACGATTTTTAATGAATTAATGTTCTTCATACACGGATATTTATGTTCGTTTTAGTGTATACAGTACTGTATTTTAGTAAGATCAGTACAGTTTTACGAATTTCAACTATTCAAGGAGGGAAAGATCTAAAATAACATAATCGTATTTGACATTTTCAATTCTTTTCTGTTCATCATAAAATTAAGAAGGATGAAAATTCTTCAAATACCTGTATCTGTTGAGGAAACACAACAATCAGAAGTAGCATCCAAAACTTTCAACATGAGGAAACAGAGCTGTAGGATAACTTTAATTTCTCCAAGTCATAACCAACTGAATCAAAAACGCACAAATTTAAATTCCGTAGAAGAAAAAAATGTATGCATTTTTACTCGAGCAACTTCATTTTCCTCTGAAAAGTTACTTCGGGCACTTCTGTAATATACTTAAATAATATGCTATTATTTTTTTTTCAGGCATCTAAAGACTGTACTCTTCAACGCCATGGCATAAACTGATGAAAAATTACCAGCAGAAATGCACTCGTTAATTAGCCGGGCTAAATGGAGCAATAATGCGAAACTCACCGGTGTTATCAGCGCAGTTCATGACAGCGCCTACGGGTAAACCAAGCGCAATCCGGAACTTCGCTCCTGCGGTTCCTCCTCGTCCTGAAGAAAAAAAAAAACCTTTGTGAAAAAGAGGAAGATTTGTAATTTTTTTGAAAGCTCACCTCGCTTAGACATCGTGAATCAAAAGTAGGGAAGAAAACACCCTCTTCTGCAAAATAAATTGGGAATACGCTGAAAGTTTCTGGCAAGCTAACCGTTTCTATACTCGCGATCAAAAATGAAACTGTACATCGCAGAAATCAGATGTTGACGAAAGGGAAAAGCTCGTTCATAAATAATCATCTTTTAAAATTAGCAAAAAATCCAACGTCATCTACTTTTCCCTCTCTCAACATCTTCAGGATCAACATTTAACCGCTAATTTCTCATGGAATGAAGCCACAGGTCACACAGTGCGCAGATAAATCTGTAGATAAAGAGAAAGATAAAATGGATCAACGAAAAAGCCGGGTACTAGAATATCAGATCAAACGGAACTCGATGCACTGTGTTCAACAAGCAAATTTTCCATTCATTCACATTGCACTTCTTGCTGTCTTAGCCAAACCATTCGGCATCTTTCCATCGAAAATCCAAAGGAACACACTACTGAAGTCAACAACAGCGCTGAAAGATCAACAAGGAGAAAATGATGAGCACACGCAGATCATTGCGATGCCACCTTTTTCGAGGAGTCCGAAAAACGAAGTTTTCGGAGCTGGTAAAGTTCTTCTTCCGTAAATACCCGTTCCACTGGCGCTTCCAAAACGATTTCTCCTGTAGCAATATTCCAAAGATGTAAATAAATAGCGCATGATAGCTTAGAAATCTGGCAGCTTACCGAAAACAGCGTTCACTTTGTCTCTTGCGATCTGATCTAAAGTAAATTTCTCGCCTAGGCATTTCACCATATCCCTGGCTTCCGGGAACGCACAGTTTTGCGCATAGCATACGAGTTCCTGAAAATATAAGGACGGCTTGAAGATACATCTTTCACAACATCCAAGAAAATAATCTGTTTTTCAAGAAATGGGCGACAACCAATTCGGCGATTTTTTTCTGTATTCCGCTAGTTTTCATATTTTTCTGAGATTATGCATTGATACATCATTCAGGATTAAAGCAGAAGAGGTTCGTTCAGACTAGCCCTAGCTTGGCAAAGTTATTTTGGTCCGAATACTGACTTAACAAATGCACAAAATAATGGAGAGCAGGTCCGAGCGTCGAAGAGACACAAAAATAGGAGCCTCTCACATTCACGAAATAAAAAATATTACTCTTTTCAGGTAAAAGGTTATGTACAAGGTTTTATGGAGTTTTACTGCAAAGAAGATAAAAACGGAAGAAGTGACTAACCACAGCTGTAGAATTTCGTGCAGGCCCAGCTAATGATGATTTCCCGACCGGTTCATCAACCAGTTTCTGGAAAAACTTTGTCAAACTTTCCGGAGCTGGTAGTCCAGCGATTGCGTTTTTTCCAACAACCATTCGATGAACAACCGCAGCGCCCAGTACGGTGTCGTCCATAGCCGAGAAAAATGTCTCGTTGACCGGGTTGTACCATGGTCAGGTGGATTAAGTTCTTCTATAACCCTTTTATTTTATTCAGCACATGGGAACGACTTTGTAATATGGCCACCCACTCCTTAATGTCGGTTTTTTAACAATAATTCCTCATAATGTTTCACGCATCTGTATTTTTTAAATGCATTTTTTGAACACGGCATGAGAAGCAAAAACTTTCTTCTGCAGCCAGAGTTTTCCACTAATTTCAGCACAGTGCGGTGAAAATGCGTCGGATAGTAAAATTTGGAAATCAATTCTTTTGTTTTCAATACAGCATTATTTTTCATTAGGCTGGAGGCGACTTGGTGATTTTTTTTCCTGAGTCAAGGTTAGAAGTCGAAATGTGCCAAAATCTTCAACAGATGATGCCCCTCCGTACTGATCAGTGTCCTCATCACCCAGTCTTCACCAAGTCCACGCAAAAAGTAATTCAAAAAATTCTAATTTAACTTTCTATCCGCTTTGATACATTTGCAGCGCAATGTGAAATGAGTGGTAAGACTCCGGATCTCAGAGAAAAGTTTTCACTTCGCACCACGTAGAACCAAAAAATATCTGGAAATCTGAAAACTTTTCTAGACGCTCCAAACATCACAGGAATTTGCAGAAATACTTTTACATTTCAACAGTGTTAGAAATACGGTATTCAATCCTGCACAGAACAGGAATAACCCTTTTACAGCACAGGTAATAATCCTTCACTAACAATCTACAGCACAGAACTTCCCCGTCGTTTCAGTTGACATATTGGGCCTGTTGCAAATTATTTTATTCCTCAAAAATTTTACACTTCTTCGTGGAGTGGCAAATGGAAAATATTGGCGATGAAAAGATTCAGTTATCCTATTGCTGAAGAATCAACGAGCGCAAAAAGAAGACCACGAAATTAATGTCTATCCATACACTGAGAACTGCGTTGAGGAAACTACATTCTTCCAGACTTGAACTGTAATTTTTTCATCAGTGTGAAAAAATTGACTTTTTTTTGTTATATCCCAGGAGATGCTTAGAAATATTAGCATAAGAAGCGGCGAGGATCTGCATGGGTGCCCAGTTGTTCAGCAAGCTTTGACGATGTTGGTAGCATCGTTGACTGAACAAGCTGTCCATACAAGGTAAGTTTGCGTAGACGACTAGTTTCTTTACGAAACTTGGATACTTGAACGTGTTATTTTTTTGAAAATCGAAGAGCTTCCATTGGACAGCTTCATCCATGATATGTTTTGGAAAAGGCTCGTCGTTTATTTTTTAATCCAGCTGGTAGAAGAATGTATAGCAGCCACATATTCATTTTTTTATCTTCGAATAAAATCTGGGTGTAGCCTAAATACGTTGATGTATTCCGAGAATCTCCCTTTTCAACAAAGTCCGCAAAGACAGGGGGGAAAATTTCAATGAAACCCTCTGGATTAATCAGAAGCATGAAATCGCCTTGAAAGTCGCGTCAAGAAAATTCCGAAGTCGTCGAGACAAATCCCCAATATGTAATTCAAATACGGTGCGTTATTTTCACAGTAACACGGAAGAACTTTAACACGATACTTGCGATGAAAAAACCTATGGGCAGTTAAAATCCATTTCTCGTCACTTGGTCTATATGTTCGTGCCAGTACTTTGTCTAGTGCCGTGTTCAGTCTCGAGTACTAGACCCTAATTGTGTGTGCTAAAGCTAGATCGGAGGTCTCTAATTCCTGTTCTTACGATGCCGTTTGTGACAGGAAACGGGTCTAAGAGCGAGGCGATACCTTGCTTTGTTCCGAATGGAAGTTTGATACACAAAAAAAATGTCCTGCAAAATATTTAAACATTTTTTCGGGGATATCTTGTCTTCATCTTACTAATCGGTTCCACGCAAAGAAATTATCACATGATAATACGGTGCAAAAAGTCCAAAAATGAAAAAGAGCGGAAAATTGTCAGTAGAATACAGTTGCTTTCTATACAACGAAATTTTTTCTACGACGACTTTTTTCTCGTCCCCTGAATTTCTGTAAAAAAAAATTTGTTTATTCTCGTCCCCTCAATTTCGGTATCAATATTTTGTTGACCCATAGGGGTTCTCTGCATAGTCTACGACGAATTTTTTCCGGTCCCCTACATTTCGTTTTCGAGAACCCTTACGGGAAGGGTAACGAGCCCCTATAGAACCAAAAACCATTCGTCATACGGAGAAAATCGTTGTACAGTATAAAATATAGTTGCACAGAGTCTACCGGTTTATTGAGGCTCTTCTTTTGAAAACCACGCTTATTTGAAATTGGGTGCTATATAGAACCAAAAACCATTCGTCATACGGAGAAAATCGTTGTACAGTATAAAATATAGTTGCACAGAGTCTACCGGTTTATTGAGGCTCTTCTTTTGAAAACCACGCTTAATTTGAAATTGGGTGCTAGTTTCCTTCAGCCTGTCGGAAAATTAATTTCTGGGTGACGTATTTGGTTGGAAGAACGAAATACTGTAGCAGCAATGTACTTCTTCCATCATAGGAGCCACTGCGAAAGTTTAGGTGTTGAATAATACTGTACAAAGAAAGAAGATATATGTTGGTGAAGTATTCAACTAAAATTCAAGATGTCTTCAAGATGTCATTGGTGCAGGCTTATAATAATCTGAAGAAAATTGTCGTCCTGTATAATTGAAAAATATTTAGACCACCACAATTTACGTACGCTGGCCTAACTTTTCGAGTTAAGAGAAACAATCGCACTCACGAAACAGCTTGAACGGAGCGGTCGGGTTCGAGGGTTTCCACCCGATTCCACAAATCTGCAGCTATAGTGAGCAGCTGTTTCCGCAGCTCTTCGTCGTCCGCATCAATTCCTTGCGTTGCTAAAATACTGAGCACGTCCTCGACCAGCAGCTGTCGATTGACCTGGTCGAAAATGATCATGTCTGACCAGAGTTTCGGAAGGTAGCCGACAGCTTTCTGAAGATCGATCGATTTCAGCAGCTGCTGCATGACACTCGGTTCCGGGGTAATTCGCTTTCCGTGGTCGAAGAGCATCATTAGCGAGTACTTAAGCAGTTTGCCGTGCAAAACTAAGTCTTCATCCTTTATCAAGGCCGATCTTTGCTCCTACTAAAGTGCGTAACTTCTACTTTGAAGAGATTGGGTAATCCGAACTCAACGCATGGATTACCAGGAAATATTTTGATATCACTGCAGGAATTTTCCATACGTGAATTTATAACATCTGTTTCCTCGATTGAGTAATTCGTTACATTTTTAATTTTTTTAATATTCCTGAATTCAATAGAATTCCTTATATTCGGTTTCATTAATTCGAATGATCTCAGTCGAGTTTTGGTCGCGCACAATCTTTTGATCCGCTGTTAATTTGGAAGTTGGTAGTAATCGGGCATGAAGCCTGGTAGTTGATATTGTTGTACAGTACAAGAAAAACAAAGCTTCATTCTTTCCATAAATTTCTGTGATTCAAAATCATGAAATTTTTGATTACTGTAATACAGCAAAATCGGAATCAAATTGTATTTGGGCTATGAAACGATAACATCGCAAGAGAAAATCAAAACCTACATGACCGTTCATTTTATGTAATACTGTACAGAATTTAAATTACGGTCAGGGAGAATTATTTTCATATTCATC